GCTTGGTGTCAGTGTACGGGAGGGGGGCAGCTTGGTGTCAGTGTACGGGAGGGGGCAGCTTGGTATCAGTGGGGGGGTTCTAGAGCCACTTCCGTAGCCCCAGAAGTTGTGCCTCTGTGTGTGTCACCACCAGTTCAGCAACTGACGAAGAAACGAAAACGGACGAGTTTGGAATGGTCTTATAATATAACCCAACTCGAACTAACCTCTGCCCCGAATGATAACCCCCATCCCTGTTGCCCCTCAATGCGTCTGTATAGTCAGGCCAGGGGCTGCAGTGCTCGTCGATATCAAGAGATTCCCGTGATAATAATTACATCACTTTATCGTCTGCATTTGTCACCAGATCCTCATATCTGCAGGTCATGATTTTGGCCGGAGATGTTCCAAGAGCCTGAAAGCAGGCGGTCACGCTGCGAGCTTCCGCATACGTGGCGCAGTCCGCCTATGGGGATTTTACAGGGGACCGCCCAATCACATGTACATGTATAATTTTTGTTTTTTCTTAACCACTCCAATAAACACTCATTTCGGAATTTCACATGTGCTTCTCTGAGTAATATGGAGAGAATTACCTGGATGTGGGGGACAAAAACAAATTTAATTTACAAGCTTTCACTTGTGGCATTATCATTCCGAGGTGTCCGTACACGTTTTCTTTCATTTCATGTGCTTAATACGTGAGCACGAAAATGAATGAAGGTTACAAAGATTTACCTACCTGCAGTCGATGGGTTCAGTCGCGCTGACCTAACGCAGTTCTCGTCAACAACGGTTACAGCAGACTTTAGAATCTTTTGTAAATGCAGATTGCGTGTGGAATTTCAACTCCGTAAAAAATGGAAACTGCTAAACTTATTCTGTATGTTTTAGATAAAGACTGGCTTACAATCAGCAGGCGTATCCAGCTTTTGGCGTGGGGGGATTCAAAAGCAAAGCCATATTAAAGTTGGGGTAGAAAAATCGAAAGCCTTATGGTCCCGACATCTTTGCTTTTATTTGGTGATGCTGTTTTCTTAGGGTTTTGGTACTGATATTTTACAAATAAACATACCGATTATTTTATTTCATGCTTACCTATGATCTATTCTTAAAAATAAAATAAAATAATCCGTTAAGGGGGAAGTTCCCCCCCATACGCCACTGCTTACAATATAATTTCGTACTTTCTCTTCTGCTTATGAGAACACGGAGTTGCACTAGTCATCATGTATTTTAGGTTTTCGGAAGTGACAGGTCAGTTTTTGGCAGGGTGCGCCTATTTCTCTTCAGGCAATTTTTCAGTTTCTTTGAGTTAGTATGCTGCTTTACACAAGCCTTTTCGGTGGTGTGTTTTAAAGAAGAAAACGAACAAAATGGGAATTTCTAAACCTTCTGAAAGTAATATTTTTCTAATCCAAGGGTTCTAGAAGCGCACGGTCTGGGGTCAACTTTCAGGCTCTTTTGTTGATATTTTACTGTATGAAATAACCACACATACAATTGTTGAGGTGAAGGTAAACTTCTGTATAGCCGAAAGCGTCCCCCATAATGAGCCTCGAGCTGAACCAAGAGGGGGACAATTTTCTTTACAACAGAGGCTCCTTTTGTCGCTACCGACAAAAATAAACACTACCGACAAGGCTCTTTTCAGCCGCTGAGGGGGTGCTTCTGCTCGCGGCGGATCATCAGTTGGATCATGCTATTTATGTTCAGCTCAAAACAGAGAAGCCCGAATAAAAACTGAATTTGCAAGAGCACGTCAAACATCAACCGAAGTTGCTTATTGCCTTGAGTTAATTGATTACATAACCGCCCCTTCATTTCTTTCAGTGTTTCTTCACCTGTTGGTACATTAAAAAAGACACAGCACGTCTACGCACGCGTAAGCCCTTCATGGAAGCGATGGCCTTTCAGTAATACTATGTCTGTCGAAAGAACTCGTGGAAACTTCCTTCCTGTACTGGACGGACTACTAGACTACTGTATTAAGTACGTATGATAATGGTTAATACCTCAGTTTTAGCGAAGCTGTTCTAAATTGCCCTCTGGATAGCAGGGTTCAGCAAGAAATATCTTGACGTTTCACTTATATACATTCATGAATAGGACAAATGTTTGACTATGACCACATGTGCGCACTTGCGAATCTGTTTTCGATACCCTTTTATTTTTTTACTACATGTATATGAAATGTAACCATTACCAACCAGCGTAAGAACTGAGAATCCCTACAGAACTCAGGATCTACTTTTGTATACTTGCTGTGGCTTCAATGCTTTTCAATACGGAATTCCTATTTATTGTTCCAGTTCTCCCCTAACTAAATCTAAGCTCTCAGGCGTCTTGTCTGCTTCACGACAAGTTGTATAGAATCTCCTCAGAAAGAACAGTTGATTGCAATCCTTTATGCGTGAGAACATTTTACAGTTCATACCCTGCGTTCTGTTTTGTTATTTAAAGAAACCGAAGATCTATCGCCAGTCATGGTCGTCAATGTTTTAATACTAGTTTAAAACGCCTTAGGACAGTTTTTGCAAGCATTGAAGAGTGCACAGACCGTTTCCGTAGCATCATTTAAGCAGAGAAAGCCCAGAAGCCGCTACAGTGGATTGTAACAGGACATACAAATGGAGTTGTTTTAGACCGAACCTCTTGAGGCTGCATACGTGCTCCAGAACTAGAATTGAAAGGCTCTTTCATGTCGGCTTTTGGTTGCAAAAGACTTTGGACTGTGTGGAGCTCAGGAGATGTATACGTTCGACAAAGGACGCTGTTGAAAACACCACAGAGAGAGTTCATCCCTAGAAACACATAGACAAAACCTGGCTGTGTACTGATTAATGATTCGGTCCATGTCACAGATGCTGCTTTCAGTCCCGTGGCAAGCCTCAGGGATCACACTTCAGAGGTAAGGTATCCATTCCCCACGTTTTCTATGGATAATTAAAGTTTGGGTCCGATTTTTATTTCTTGCAAATTTATCAAGTTTGACAGAGGATCGACCCTCTTGTTCGTTTCACATTTGAAGTGTTTTGGGTTCCGTCACAGCTTTTCAGAGAAGAAAATTGTCTTGTCATTTTATTTATATTGGTTCTCTTCCTTAAGTGCATTGTACTGATATAACATTTTAAGATTAAAGAAATTAATCTTACATACAGCAAATTAAATTGCCTGCAACCAACCGAACTTCATCTGATCATGTACAGTTTACAGTAATGGCCCGGAGGGTTTGTTGAAGTAAATACATGAAGTGTCTACTGGAAGAGCACTATTAAATGAACAGACACCGGGGAGAGATCCAAATAACAGCAAAACATCAAACAACGCTCACACGTCGTGATAAACTGTGGCACTTGTCACGCCAGGGAGCTGGGTAAACGGACCGTTATTTGTGTGCACGGCGCCCTCTACAGTCTCACTCGGGGAGAGAGATCGACCACTTTTCAATCAATAGCATGTATAATTTTATTTTAGATAAGAGCAAGAACTCCTCGTGAGCATATTGCGATACAGATCAGTTCAGTTGGTGATGTATAAAAATTAGGCCGATGGATGGAAGATGAAATGGCCTTCCCGGGTCATCTAGCCGAAGACAAGTTTGCGTAGCGTCATCTCGGCCTGAGCAAACTCTTCTCCACGTATAAACAGAGCGCAGATGTATTTAATCTGGGATGCAGAAACTGCCAAGAGAACTCAAATATTTACCGTGACAATCTACACGATTCGAGGTCGGTTAGCAGTAACTGGACGACCCATGATAGAACTCCAAAACCCAATGCCAATCGTCTTTGGGGAGAGGGTGGAATCAGTTGAAAACACGGCCTGGATAAAATTGCTCATAAAATATTGATGCTCCTGGCATGCTGTATCAAATTTCCGGTTCTCAGGCTGTTCATCAATTAACAGAGGGCCTTGTAATGACCTTGTTAGTGAATGAAATCTACCCAATGCAAAAGGCAATTAACGTGGACTAAATAAATTAGATTTCAAATTTGGGGCTCCAATTTAGTACAGTGGCATCTTCAGGTCACCATTTCGGTCCTGGACCGAACGCGACACGGCACAGCAATGTTCTTTCTGGCCATGCGGCGAAGCGTGACGTTTCCTGATACAACTAGTGATGTGTCTGCCCTGCTCAACAGTAGTCGTTCTGTGTTGGATGATGGATGACACAATTAAAGATCTGCAAAAAGAGTCTACTCGTTAAGGCCTAATGATTTGTCGTTAGCTCGATGGAAATGCTGTTGAAATTACTTTTCCTAGATCATGGCATATTCATTTTATTTTTTCTTTGTAAACCATTTAGTGAACCCAAAGTGCAC